TTCGAAACCAGTCATTGTAGCATGTTTATTATCATGTCTACAATCATTCCCCAAAGTTTTACATTTTTTGGAATTTATTTGATATTTTTAAACAGGGTTTTAAAATCAGCAAAACAGTTTTTGAATATGTCAGATTTCGGTCGACCGCACCGGTCGACCGAACCTGAGTTCATATGTTCACTGGGCGACAGAGAGTCTGTCGGTCGACCGGTCCGGTCGACCGATGAAAATTTTCGGTCGACCGACGAATTTTTCGGTCGACCGACGAGTGTTCCTTCAGTTTGCAACGGCTAGTTTTTTGACCGTTGCCTTGGGGTTGTGTTTTGTCTTTTGCTCAGGTTTTTGGCTGAGTTGAGAGAGGGTATAAGTACCCCATTGCCTTCAACTCTTAAACTAACCAAGAGGGTTTTTAATCAAGTTTAATAAAGTTTTTAACAAGGGTTTTAGTTTGGTTTAAGTGTGTTTAAAAAGCTTTTAAGCAAATTGAGAGTTTGTTTTTGTGATTCAATTCTACAAGAGCTTGAGGAGATCATCTATTGGTGTTTGGGCATTCAACTATTCTCCCTCCAACTCTTGATATATTGAGAAGTTTTCTAAACTCTATTTCTAGCTTTTTTATATATTTGATTATCATTGTTATTAAGCTAGAACTACATTGAGTTTAGTTTTGATTTATATCTCTTTGTTCACACACAACCTTTTGAGCTTATTGTATTTACATTCATAGTATAATTTGGGGTTGTGGGTTTGTGACTAAGAGTTGTGCTTAATTGAGTTCTCACCTTGTTTTGAGAACAATCATTTGTCATATTTGTGCTTATTGTGAGAATCACTTTGTAATACACTTGTACACCGAGTGAGGAGTGTGTGGTGAGAGTCGGGGATCGTCCCAAGAGGAGTGGCGTCGGTTGACGTGCCTAGGGAGAGGTTGTAACCGAGCACTTGAGGGAGACACGGCTAGGTCCAACACTTAGTGGGTGTAGAGTGTGATTGCAAGAGTGTGAGTTGTAGAGTTTTCGGTTAGCTAGAAAACCGAGTGTGTAGAAGAAGTTCCGGCTTCCAAACCGGATTGTGTTAGTGGATTTCTCCCCGGGAGTGGGGAGCGGAGACGTAGGACGGAAGGTCCGAACTCCGTGATCATATTGCTTGTTTGAGTTTGTCTTTGGCGTAGTTGTTTTTGCATTTATCTTATATCGCCAATTGTGCATTACTCATCCTTTTTATGATCCACTATCTAGTTTATATTGTTTACCCTTGTGTTAGTTTATATATCCTTGCATATATATTTTGCTATATATCTCTTTGCTAGGATATATCATATTGTATATTGCTTATCCTAGCTCATATATATTATTGTATTTCATACTTGCTAGGATAACTTGTTAATTAGTTTTAATTGACATATAATCGGATTAGATTAGCATAAGACCCTAATCACCCCCTCCTATAGGGTCTAACAAAATGCCGCAGAATCATTGATGACTCGGTATCAATGTTAAGTAATATTCTTTTTTATGGCATGAACATATTAAAATACAATATTAACTATCTTTAGAATTTAACAATGAAAATTACAGGTACGTAGTTACGATTCTCGTGGAAAATAGCACGGATAATGCAAGAGTAACACTATTTGATGCAATAGAAACTCTTATTGGATGCACAACAGAAAAATTCATTACAGATAAAAAAAGGTAATTCCTAACTCTATTCAAGTAATAATTTAGAAAATAAAAAAAATCATATATATTAAAATAACATTTGTTCTCATTAAAACTAGAAAAACAATCAGAGCCCATATTTCCAAAAAATTATGTTGAACATCTAAAAAACGTTCAAATTCCTGGTGAAGTTAGATGAAAAAAATAAAAGATGAACGAGGCAAAGAAAATATAATAGCATAAGAAATCTAACTCTAGCCTGATATTACAATCGACATAGATGATGAAGATGCTAGTCTATAATTGCTCAGGAAAAGGATAAAGGTGGAGAAAAATTGATCTCGGTTCAATTAAAATATAAAACAAAAATAACAAAGGATAATATTTTTTTGATCATTTTATATCATATCTTAATTTTTGAGTAGAATTAGGAATTTTTATAAGGGATTTTCATACAATATTATTAGTAGTTTTGTATGCTTATGTGATTGCTTTCATCACATAAAAGTATATTATAGTTACCATTATTATTTAGTTTTTGTCTTTTTATTACTGTTTTTGGACAATTATAGGTGTATTTCCCTGTATTTTCTGTAATTGGTATGTTTTGTTCTTCAAATTTCATTGTAAATTTATGTATGGGATTGCTCTAATCTTACTGCTTTTGGATAATTACTCTCTAATTGTAAAGTTCTACGATGCGCAATTATTTAAAATCTTATTGTTTCTTCGAGTTTATTCTAAATTTGTTTATAGGTTGTTGAGGATTTGAAATAATCAATCGAACCATTTCTCTTCCGGACCTTGTGTCGAAAGTAGGAAAGTCACCACAAATTAGATCAAAACTTGTGAAAGAATAAAGGAGATGAACACATAAGATTTAACGAGATTCGGCAATGTGCCTACGTCCTCGGGAGCCACACCACACAATTGTCTTTTATTAATTGAAGAAGAAATACAAGCTCTCAAACTAGGGTTTTATCTCTTTGAGATTATCTCTCTTTTCTACAGTAAAAAAACTCTCTTTTTGTGTTCTTTTTTAAGCCCTAAAAACGTTTAGGTATATATAGAGTCCTGGAAGAAACAGAATTCAAAACAGATAAGAAAACTGGCTAACTACGTCGCGGTCGATCGTGACGGTCGACCGCTCAAGTATCGCGGTCGATCACAACGGTCGACCGTATCAAACGCCAGAGCCCAGAAAATCCTACAGGGTATCCACGGTTGACTGCGGCGATCGACCGAACCAAAACCCGAGACCAAAATTCATTACAGGGGTTTGTGCGGTCGACCAGACCAAAATTCATTACAGAGATTTGTGTGGTCGACCGCCACGATCGACCGCCTTTAGCTTCAGGCTCTACCCAGCTCTGTGCATGTTCGCAGTCGACCGCCACGGTCGACCATGTAGGCCTCCTCTTGTTTTCTCGATTTTTTCTTCATCTTCTTGATTCCAGCTTCGGCTTCGCCTTTGAGTCTATACTTTAGACTAACATAGGGTTGCTCTAATCTTACTGTTTTTGGATAATTATTCTCTGACCACAATGTTTTGCAATGCGCACTTCATTAAAATCTTCATGTTTCTTTGAGTTTCATTATAAATTTTTTATGGGTTTGCTCAAATCCTACTGCTTTTCAATAATGCATATTATTGTATAAGTTGATTTTTATTATCTCATGTAAGAAGAGGTATCTCGGAACCGTTACTCGCAATTTATTTTTATATGATTATTATGGTTTATTAAAATTATTTATTATAAAACATGAGGTTATAATGTCCTAATGTGTTGTGCAATTTTATTTTCAATGTAATAAGAAATATGATTTCTTTTTTACTAAAACATTTGTTCATAATGATATTGCTATTCATGCTTGACTCCATATTATATATTGGGATTAGTAGAGTTTGGAATATGACATAAAATATTAATTAATTTTATTTTATTTTACTATTCTACTTGAAGATCTTATTATGTCAATTCATATTTTTTCTTAATCAATTAATTAAGATGTCCCAATTAAACTTATAATATCCAAAAATACCGTGCGATTCTATTTTCAATACAATAAGATATGTGATTTCTTTATTGCTATAATTATAGTTCATAATGACAATTACAATATCCCAGTTAGGTACATTCATCTTAGTTTAGCTTAAAAATCCATTATATTACTTTTAATAATATTTAAATAAAAATAATATTAAATCTAATCATTTAATTTTATATATTTGAACTCAAGAAAAATCCAACTTATTTATAGCAATAAAATAATTATAAAAAAATATTTTGATATTTTACCACATGCACTGCACGTGCATAAAAACTAGTAATATAAATCTTACAAACTGTAACACTAGTAAATTTGTAAAAATGATTAGTTAACAATCAAGCTCTTGTTAATTTATTAATTACCACAATTTTGGATCTTATTTTGAATTTAAAGAATATTTCTCTGTTTTTAAAGATATTCGAGGTCTTATCCGTATATTATCTGATTTAGAAAGATAAGTACTGAACAATGGAAGATTGGGTCATGAAAACCAAGAATAGGAAATTGGGTCATGAAAATCTCAAAAACATCAATTCCTCTATTTTCATCCCTAAAACTCACCACAACATCCAATAAAATATTATTTTCATCTAACAGCTCATCCACTTTATCCAATAAAATATTATTTTCATCCATCAACTCATCTCATATCATCTCCTAAAAAAAACCAAACACAAGAAATGAGTCACATCATCCTACTCATCTTAAAAAATCACCCATATCATCCAATAATATGGTGACAACTCATCTCATCTCATTAACATTTTATTTCCTCCCATTTTCTCAAAAAAACCAAGGAAATTGATTTTCTTGAGTGTGGGTCACATCATCCAATAATATAATGACAACTCATCTCATCTCATCTCTTATTTTTAAGAATAAACCAAACACAAGAGAATAACCTATTATAGGAAATATGTTTCTTATAATTCATTTCCTTATTTTTTTAACCAACTAAACAACCTCAAAACAAGTTTTCTTAAAAAATCACCCACATCATCCAATAATATGGTGACAACTCATCTCATCTCATCTCCTATTATATGATTTTCTTCTTTTTTTAGCCAACCAAACAATCATAAAATAATTTTTTAAGAAATAGGTTTCATATTCTTTGATTTCCTTTTTTTTTTATTTTAGCCAAACAAACAGGCCCATATGCGAAATTAAAAAAATGTGACTCACAAGTACTTTAAAAAAGGAGCTTTTCTCACTACGTTAGTATTCGGTTTTGCTAAGAAAAAACAAAACGGAAAGAGCCCAAAGCCTGCTCTAAGAGGGCCGGTCTTGAACCCGTTCAGCCAGTAATGCCAACTAGGGCTTTAATCATATCATCATTTAAAACCCTAGAAGCAGAACGAAGACTCCTAAACCGCCGTCGAGTCTCAAATCCCTCTCTCGTGAGGCTCCAAATTTCCCTTTTTCCCTTCTATTTTCGACCTAAAATTTCAATCTCTCTTCCCTAACAATTCGATTTCCTTCTGAATCCAGGAGCGAAGATGCAGAACGAAGAGGGAACCGTCGTCGATCTCTACGTCCCAAGAAAATGGCACGGATATAACATTCTTTGATCGATTTCTTTTGATTTAGGGTTTCATTTGTTGATTGTTTTTTTTTCGATTTTACTCAGTTCGGCGACGAATCGGCTGATTACTGCTAAGGATCACGCCGCGGTCCAGATTAACATTGGGCACGTAGATGAGAACGGGATTTACACTGGCCAGTTCTCCACTTTTGCGCTCTCTGGTTTCATTAGAGCTCAGGTATTTGTTTTTGATTGATTTTAGAGTATTTTTTGGCCAATTTTATTAGAAATGTCATTTAAATTTGTGTTTTTGTTGCCGCTATACTCTTGACCGTAGTCTAATCTTAACAAAAGTCTGCGCTGGTGAGATTGTTGATAATAATTGTATGTATTATTTAGAATGCTGAATTATTTCATTGGCCTTTTTATTCTAGTGGTAATTAATGAAATAAACCCGCAACGTCTTCACTTTTAGATACCATGCCATCAAATTAAGGAGATTTTTTTGAGGTTGAGATTGTTAGTCATACATTATAGAAATTTCTCGAGACCTTAAATCATGTCTAAAATGTTGTAGTTATAGCTTACTTGTAGAAAGACATTTATTGATTGTATGCACCAGTCAAGTTACGGCTCAGTCCTTATAAAAACAAGATGTATGTTTTGGCAGAGAATTTTCGGAGGTATTTAGATTGTGCATGAAATGTGATGATTGAACTGTAAATTGCCCTTCCTAAGCTTGAGTAAGCGTAGAGCATATCCTACCACCAGTTTAACTCATGTAATCAAGTGACTGGCCTCCTTATTTAGCTACTTTAACTCGTTATACGCCTAGTAAATGATCTTGTACTCCCCTTGTAGAAACTTTATTTTTATTAGCATGTTTCTGTGTGTTTGTTGTATATTATCCATTTATACTTGTGATTCTACCGAGCAGTAGAACTTATTTTTTAAGTTTTGTTATATCTTTTGGTAAAGTAATTTGATTCAAGTTCTTAAGATATGGCGCAATTTGCATGTTTTCAGTCTGACCTTATTCGTTTTCCCAAGTTTTAGTCTTTTGAGGATCTTGAGAGAAAATACATAATATTCTTTTATAGCCTTGATTTTACATTGGAAAAAGCTGTCTGCATTGTTTTTCGTTCTATTAGCACTTTCAAGAGGCACATTGTTCTTTAGGTTTCTATTCTAGTCAATTTAGTATGGAATATCCCAATTTGATTACTAACAAAAAGATTAGCACATATCGAAGGCTTAGAGTTGGAATTGTGAAACCTCCTTTGAGCTCAAAACCTGTGCAAGATTCTGTCACTTGACCATCTTCTTTACTAAAGGCCTCACAAATTGCTAAGGTCGTTTGAAGATGTCGTAAATTCCATTCCTCAATAAGAATTTATTGATATGTCATGTGTTTTTTAATGTTTTCATAAGGTTTTTGGAGTTCTCTGCCATTGTAAACCTATCAATTCGTTGTCTTTGACCTTTTTGAGACTGTTGTTTAGTTGAAATTTTTTTAAACTTCACTCCCTCCTTTCTTTTCTTTAAAAGAAAAATGGGTTAAGTGCGAACATGCCCCATTTAGTATCAGCCAATTGTGAATAGACCCCCTATGGCTCTATTATTACAAACAGTCCCCCTGAATGACTCCATTATTATGAACAGACCCTCTGAATGGCTCTATTTTTTACTCTTAACATCGTTAAAAATGTTTGACGAGGCGGGGAGACCCCTATAGTTCTCTTAGTGAGGATAGATTATCAGTTGCATTTTTTTGAATTTTAAAAGACTTGAAAAAGTTCACCAAGCAAATAGAACTATAAGGGGTCTATTCGCAATTAACCCAAGAAAAATTTGCCTGGCTTGATAAGATAGGTTTTCCGAGTCAACTAACTACATCTCTCCTTTTGCCTACCCATGGTTCCTTCGACTAAGATAATTGGGGTCAATCGACGTGATTGATATCAGACTGATATCAGCAATAGACTTGCGCTAATCTTTTACATGCATCTGTTATATACGACTTTTTAGAAAGAACAATCGACTGAATAATAAAGGCTAAACTTGCCTATGAATTGACCATCTGTGGTTCTTTTCTTTGGACGTTCGTTTGAGAATATACATGTCCTTATAGATTTTGGTAAATATTTTATCAATCGCAATCTAGACTTATTTTTGTCCAGAACACTATAATGCAAACGAAAAGAGCTTTTTGTTGAAAGGGGAAAAAAAAGAAAAAAAAGAAAAGGTCCTATTTTATAGTTTTACATTTAATTGACATGACAAAGAGCCATTATTTCATGATGGTTCACCAAATAGAAACTGCTCTCGTGATCATTAATTTGATTGATATATTACAGTCGCTCAAGTTACAAAGAATGTAAAGATCATTGTAGATTTAGATTGTATTGCAATATGCATAAAACTATTCACTCTATTGAATACAAGAATGAAGAAAATCTAAAGAGTTAATTCAATGACTACACTTTTAGGAGAACATTTAGGTGGTAGTTCCTTGTGTTGAATCAAATGATTTTGATCAGCAAATACATGCTTGCTTTCACAACCTATTCGTTTCAGAGGCACAATGCTCGGACTATAACTTGTGTGAAGACGCCGGACACTTGAAACTTCAGGTTTCTCGTACATCTTGCACAATTATTCAGAATTCTTCGCTTCATCGTACAGGATCATCACATCGTGTAACCAAACTTGCAAAGCATCGTTACGTTGCCACAGGCTAACGAGTCTCGAAAATCTGTAAGGTGTCCCTGTCGGTGCACGGGGGAGCTCAATGATATGAGTTCTTTCCTAGGAAATTCTGTTGTGGTATTCCTTGTGAGTCCATATCTTGATGTCTGACTCTGAAGTAATGATGACAGAGATACTCTCTTTGAGCTGTGTGAGCTACAATTGTTCGTTGTTGTTCGGAACATTGTCTATTACCTTACCCTCTTCAGTTTCGAGGTCGATAGATAATAGGTGCAAATCTGTTGATGAATTAGCATATAGGAGGTTGTCCAGTGTATCATCTCGTCGATATAAATAGGACCCTAGCGTGTATTGAAATAAATATCTTCGACATCCCTCCATGACTCTTCGGCGCGGAGAGTGCGTATGGATAGCTTTTGTTGAGGGGCTGAATCCTAGCCGAACAGAGAAACTAAAAATATCCCGCATCATTGAGATGTTGGTTTTCTTCAATACGCACTCTAGGTGCCGAAGAGTCATGGAGAGATGTCAGAGATATTTTCAACACAGGCCAAGGTCCTATTTATATCGACGGGAAGATACACTGGACAATCTCCTATGCTAATCCATCCACAGATTTGCACTTATTATCTATCGACCTCGAAACTGAAGAGGGTATGGTAATAGCCAATGTTCCGAACAACAACGGACAGTTACAGCTCACACAACTCAAAGAGAGCATCTCTGTCATCATTACTTCAAAGTCATACATCAAGATATGACCTCTCAAGAAATACTACAACAGAATTTCCTAGGAAAAAAACTCATAACATTGAGCTCCCCCACGCGCCGACAGGGACACCTTACAGGTTTCTGAGACTCGTTGGTCTGTGGCAACGCGACGATGCTTTGCAGGTTTGGTTACACGATGTGATGATCCTGTACGATGAAGCGAAGAATTGTGAAGAAGGGTGCAAGATGTACGATGAACCTGTAGTTTCAAGTGCTTAGCATCTTCACACAAGTGACATGCCGAGCCTTGTGCCTCTGAAACGAATAGATTGTAAAAGCAAGAAGGTATTTGTTGATCAAAATCATTTGATTCAACACAAGAACTACCACCTAAATGTTCTCCTAAAAGGGTAGTCATTGAATTAAATCTTTAGATTTTCTTCATTCTTGTATTCAATAGAGCGAATAGTTTTATGCATACTGTAACAGAATTTGAATCTACAATGATCTTTACATTCATTGTAATGACTGTAATATATCAATCAAATTAATGATCATGAGAGCAATTTCTGTTTGGTGAACCATCATGAAATAATGACTCTTTGTCATGTCAATTGAATGTAGAACTATAAAATAGGACATTTTCTTTTTTCCCTTTCAGCAGAAGGCTCTTTCCTTTTGCATTCTAGTGTTTTGTGGACAAAAATAAGTTTAGGCTGAGATTGGTAAAATATTTGCAAAAAATCTATATGAACATGTCTCAAACTAACATTCAAAGAAAAGAACCACAGATGGTCAATTCATAGGCAAGTTGCTTTTATTATCTATCGATTATTCTTTCAGAAATGTCGATTTTATGTAGATTTGCAATGTGATGTTATAAAGTAACAAAAAATATCAAGTTCCTAAAAAATAATTCGAAAAGTTAAAACACTTATCTATGTCTAGTTGGATCACAACTAGGATGGGTAAATATTTTGACTGAGAGCATAATGATGGAGGAGTAGAAAGAGAAGATCATATAGTTTATTAACATGCACGAACAAAATACGGTCTATGCTTGGTATAATAATCATCCAACAAATACGTATAGTTCTTTAGGCTTTTAACTCATACAACCTGAGTGTGATGTTGCTAGTATTTCCGATTTACAAACTGCGTTGAGGTTGTCAATTATCATATAATTAACGGAAATAAAGAGAAACAATTTTTATATACTAATGATACAAATCCTAATATTTGAATAGGATACGCAATCCAATTAGAGTTTCTATTGACTATGCCTAATATTAAGATAAGGTCAAAGTTCATTTATTCGATCAAGACTAAGATTTTTATCTTGTAGAATTTGTGGCTAGCAATAACTCTTATACTTGATATGAAGAAGCTTTCTGATGAGAAACCATATAACCTAAGGTCATAGCATTAAGGGAAAAACGAATAGATCTTTATTAAGACTCCATGCAATTAATCCATCCGATGGTAGCAGGAAGTATTGAGAGGGCTTTGCGGGCTGAAGCAAGCCGAACCACATATATCCGTGTGTTATTTGTGTTCTTGATATTTTTCTGTGTTTTTTGTGTGAATAATATTTGTTTATTATTGGAGATTTGTCATAACAATTTTGTTGAATGAAGTGGAGATAAAAATGAGACAATTAGCATACTATTTAGTCACTGTCTGACATTGAAGCATAGTTTTTAGGGTAGGGTGTTTGCCATATTAGAATCCCAAAGCTTTGGTAATTCTGTAGTAAACCCTCAAATCTTCATGTCTTAATTAAACCTTCGAGTCATTTTTATTAAAAACGATGGTTCTAGTTAAAACAATTTACTAGATTTTGTAGTCTTATTTTAATTAACTTAATATATTTGTAGTCTTATTCGAAATAGCACAATAATTTGGAGAGGTCATCTATATTTAGAAATATAAAGATTTAAGGGCCTTATTTAGAGAGATTTAAAGTGTCTTATTCAAAACAACTTACGTAGTTACGTGTTGAGAGTCAAATTTAGAAATATGAAGAATTGATATAGAATAAACGAAGGTGTTAGGGTCTGATATAATAAAAGTCTAATTAGGTGATCCTTTCTTGAAACATCTTAGAGATTTTTTTTCAAGATAAAATAAAACGAGAAGCACTATTTACAACATAGTAATATAAACCAACTTAACTAGGATTGCATAACACAGAGAGAATATGAGCTTAGAAAACTAGATCCATGAGTGAACAAGTAGGGAACCTTGTCGTCACTTGTTACACAAAGTAGAGATGTCACCTAAGCTCATATCCCTACACACCACATAATCTCAGTCGAGAGAAGTTACAGAGATGTCACTCTCAGCTTACAGAATTCATACATGTTTTAAAACAAGCATGATAACTAGACAAAAAAAAAAAAACACTACGATGCAAGAGGCATGAGCCCTTTGTTTGAAAAATATGAGAAATCATATTTCTTGTATTTTACATTCAAATGACATGAAAAAGGAGTCAAATGTTTTTCATATGGCACTTCGCTAAAAGAAATCTTTCATTGCCATGTATAGTTTGAATGGGTGTTACATTTGTATGTAGAGTAACCTCTGGAAAATTATCTAATGATAATGGGTGTATTTTATTTTTTAACATTATATTATATTTAACGGAAGCTTTGTTTTAGAATTTACTTTTACTGTTCAGCAAGATGTTGCCACTTCTATCTCTGTGATCAGGCGATTTAGTAATGAATTTTTTTTTTCAGATGTGAACTAGAACTATATAATTTGTTTTTGACATGTAGTAAGTCAAAAACTAACTATACCTGCTTATACTTGCATATTTTTTTAAATATAAGCAATCCTTAATTTTATGTTGTATTTATCTTTTTTGTTATTTTTTTTTATTTTTGGCTTGCAGGGAGATGCTGATAGTGCTCTGGATAGGCTCTGGACCAAGAAGAAAGTTGAAGTCCGACAGCAGTAATTTGCTGTCATATTTTGCTTTTCTCATTTTGGGACTAGTTTGGTTGAATATTTTTGTCTTAATTACTGGGTCTAAACTCCCCATGTAGAATTTCTGCTAGTAATGTCTTTAATTTTTTGAATTTTCATTGTTGTTGAGATCTTTCTAAGACCCAACTAAGTTCTTTACTACTAATGCAGAATTTTCCTCGCATAATGTTTTTGGTCCTGAATTTTCTGAAGTTTTGTGTTTCATTATGCAGCAAGCTTCTTTTATTGAAATGCATTATAGTGTTTCATCCTAACAAATTACCTACTTGTGTTTTTTTTTCGTAAATATACCTACAGTATTTGTGAATCATACTCTTCACTCTGGAGAAAGCTTATTGTGCATGCTGATAGTGCTCTGGATAAAAGCATGTATAAATCAAAAGGAAAGTATACGTCTCTTTATAAATTAATCATATGTAAGTGTGAATTGTATATTGTTACAAATATTCTGTTATTGAAATGAAATTCTAATTTCTTGATTTAGAAATTTCAAATGATTAGTATATTAAACCATAAACCTCCTTAAAAATATGATCATTTTTCATAAAATATCTTTCATTTTAATTTTGTATGCAAACCATCTATTAAGTGTGGTTTTATTCTTGTCAACCATCGGTAAGTAAAGAATTTTAGAACTTTACATTCAAAACACGTGATTCTTTTTTTTTTAATGTTTAAAGCCATAAACTTGATTGATTGGAATAAAAATTCAAAATTTTAAAACTTCACATTCAAAACAAGTGATTCATTTTTTTAATGTTTAAAACCATAAACTTAGTTGATTGGAACAAAAATTCAATTCATTTTAAAGATGGTACATATATATAAATTGAAAATGAAAGATGATTTTCATAAAAAAGACCATTAAAATGTGGTTTCATGGAAGGAAAAAAAACCCTTGAAATAATTAAAACGTTAAAAAGAATTTTGGAGTTGTTGCATGTACTAATATTTTAGTATTTGCAATGTTTTAAAAAGCCTATGCTTAGCCCGCCTAGACCGGATGCCTAGGCCAAAACTTTGATGCTTTTTTGACAAAGCCACCCTAACCTTTGTATTTAAACCCCAAGCTTTTCTTGTTGGGGTTTTTCGATATTGGTCCCTTAAATCATAGTGAATTTGATATTAGTCCCTCAAATCTTCATATTTGGATATTAGTACGTTAATTACACTTTAGTTGTTGATATTGGTCCTTCTGTTAAGATCATGATTAAAAATGATGACCTATGGTCAGGTTAGTGCGAACTCTAAGTGAGCAATTACCAAACTAATCCCGACTCATTTGAATTTGGATGTTTTCAATTTTTTTCTTCACCAACATTTTCCCAATTGAGCGAAATCTCCCCCTTTCCCATAATTGTTTAAAATCAAAGGGAGGAAAGGAAGAAGAAAAGGGTCTAAATGGATTTGAGCTTGTAATTAATGGGTTTGAGGGTCGTAAACGGGGCCGAGTTAAATAGATAATGTGTTTGGGTTTATAATTAATGGGTTTGAGGGTTGTAAGCGGGTACGAGTTGAATCAGAGGAGGTTTGAAGGAAACGTTTCAAAACTTTCGTTCGGTTTTTAAGAGGCTCGCCCAAAATTGGCAGCATAGTCAACGGTCAATACTCTCGGTTGACTCCGATTCTGGTTTGTTGCCTAACCGCGCATAAATAGTGAAAACCTCAGGCTGCCGCCATCAACCGCGGCGAATTTGAATTCGCTATCTTCGCTCATCACCAGCAATGGCGACGGAGCTGGGCCCCACGAAGCTGGCCTACTTCGATGACATGTGGGCCCTCCAGTCCACCTCCATCCTCCTCTCTCTCCATCAGGTATCTCTCTCTCGCTCTCTCTATACAATCAAAACCCTAATTTTTGACATTCTTGACCTAGGTTTTCTATTTCTTGAAGTCTGAGGACGGACGAAGCGCTCTGATCTTGGAATCCACGATCTTCCATCCTCAAGGCGGCGGCCAGCCGGCGGATACCGGGTCCATCTCGAACCCTAGCTCCGGTTTCAAGTTCGTCGTCGAGGACGTCAGGTTGAAGGATGGATTGGTTAGAACTCGCTCCTTCGAATTAGGGTTTTTAGAATTGTTAAGCCTAGCGTGGGTTCTTTATTCCTGTTGTTAATTGGGTATTGAAGAGAACTCTATATCATTGATGATCAGATTTACATGATATATATACACAATAAGTGGCCCACATACACAATAAGTAGTAGGCACATTTTCTTGTTGGGGTTTTTCGATATTGGTCCCTTAAATCATAGTGAATTTGATATTAGTCCCTCAAATCTTCATATTTGGATATTAGTACGTTAATTACACTTTAGTTGTTGATATTGGTCCTTCTGTTAAGATCATGATTAAAAATGATGACCTATGGTCAGGTTAGTGCGAACTCTAAGTGAGCAATTACCAAACTAATCCCGACTCATTTGAATTTGGATGTTTTCAATTTTTTTCTTCACCAACATTTTCCCAATTGAGCGAAATCTCCCCCTTTCCCATAATTGTTTAAAATCAAAGGGAGGAAAGGAAGAAGAAAAGGGTCTAAATGGATTTGAGCTTGTAATTAATGGGTTTGAGGGTCGTAAACGGGGCCGAGTTAAATAGATAATGTGTTTGGGTTTATAATTAATGGGTTTGAGGGTTGTAAGCGGGTACGAGTTGAATCAGAGGAGGTTTGAAGGAAACGTTTCAAAACTTTCGTTCGGTTTTTAAGAGGCTCGCCCAAAATTGGCAGCATAGTCAACGGTCAATACTCTCGGTTGACTCCGATTCTGGTTTGTTGCCTAACCGCGCATAAATAGTGAAAACCTCAGGCTGCCGCCATCAACCGCGGCGAATTTGAATTCGCTATCTTCGCTCATCACCAGCAATGGCGACGGAGCTGGGCCCCACGAAGCTGGCCTACTTCGATGACATGTGGGCCCTCCAGTCCACCTCCATCCTCCTCTCTCTCCATCAGGTATCTCTCTCTCGCTCTCTCTATACAATCAAAACCCTAATTTTTGACATTCTTGACCTAGGTTTTCTATTTCTTGAAGTCTGAGGACGGACGAAGCGCTCTGATCTTGGAATCCACGATCTTCCATCCTCAAGGCGGCGGCCAGCCGGCGGATACCGGGTCCATCTCGAACCCTAGCTCCGGTTTCAAGTTCGTCGTCGAGGACGTCAGGTTGAAGGATGGATTGGTTAGAACTCGCTCCTTCGAATTAGGGTTTTTAGAATTGTTAAGCCTAGCGTGGGTTCTTTATTCCTGTTGTTAATTGGGTATTGAAGAGAACTCTATATCATTGATGATCAGATTTACATGATATATATACACAATAAGTGGCCCACATACACAATAAGTAGTAGGCACACTAGGAGGCGGCTGAGGCGGGCTAGGCACGTATAAGGTGGCTGATATTATCTAACAACCCCTTCAAACTCACGGTGGATCGAACACGTAGAGTTTGGATAAGAAATAGTGAAACGTAGAAATAGTTTGAGCCTTGGTAAATAAATCCGTCACTTGTTCTTTAGAGGGAACATATGAGAATGTAATGTTCCCAGCAACATGCTCCTGTCGAACCATATGACAATCCACCTCAATATGTTTGGTACGCTCATGAAATATCAGATTTGTAGAAATGGAGATGACACTCTGATTATCACAGTATAAAGTGATAGTTGAAGTAACAAAGATATCGAGATCTCGCAAAAGAGTGCGGAGCCATTTGAGCTCAGCTGTGGTGTCTGTTAACGTCCTGTACTCGGACTTTGTATAAGAATGAGAGACAACAACTTGATGCTTACTACGCCAAGAGATGAGAGGTGAACCTAGAAAAATACAAAAGCCAGTAGTGAAACGTCGAGTGTCTGCATCATCAGCCCATCCATCATCAGAATATGCACGAAGAGACAAGGGCAAAAATAATGATTGGGTTATAGCGCCACGGATATATCGAAGAACCCGAATGAGAGCTACATAGTGAATGGAAGTTGGATTACTAACAATCTGGCTCAAGATATGTACTGCATAAGCGATATCCGGACGTGTTATTGAAAGATAAACCAATGCTCCGACAAGTTCCCGATATCGAGTAGGCTGAGGTAAGGGATTGCCATCATCATGTCAAAGCTTCATGTTTATTTCTATCGATGTGAGAGATGAGTGGTAGTAATGGAAGGATCACTGAGAGTAGCACGTTCAAGAATGTCTGCAATGTACTTCTGCTGAGAGAGAAGATAACCACGAGAGAAGGAAGCAACCTCAATACCTAAGAAGTAACAAAGGGATCCAAGATCTTTCATCTCAAATTGATTCTGAAGATGTTGCTTTAAGGAAGTAATGGTAGAGGAATCACTCATAGCGATTATCATGTCATCAACATAAAATAATAGAATGACTGTACCAGAGGTTGAGGATCGATAAAATAGAGCATAGTCAGCTAGGTTTTTATTGAACTAATAGAAAGAAGAGATTGTCGTAAACGCTCAAACCAAGCCCGATGTGAGCCTGTTTGAGACCATATATAGCACGACGAAGGCGACATACATGTCCTGGAGGAGCAGGAAAGCCGGGAGGTGACTGCATGTACACTGTCTCAGACAAATCTCCATTAAGAAAAGCATTTTTAACATCCATTTGATACAAATGCCAATGTTTTACAGTTGCAACAGTAATGAGAGTGCGAATGGATGTTATTTTTACAACAAGAGTAAATGTCTCTTCAGAGTCAATACCATACTCTTGTGAGAAACCCCAAGCTATAAGACAAGCTTTATACTGCTCAATAGAACTGTCAGATTGAGTCTTGACCTTATAAATCTATTTGCAGCTTACCGGTTTAACACCAGAAGGCAGAGGAATAAGGTCCCAAGTATTAGTCCGACAAAAAACCTCCAACTCTTCCGTCATTATTTACTGCAATTCTGGATACTTAACTACCTAAGAAGAATATGAGTTAGGTTCATGTATAAAGTAAATAGCAGCAAGAAAAGAGACAAACTCAGGAGAATATGTGGTAGTGACACATTGAGCATACCAAGCAGGGGATGACGACCTCATGGAGGATTTTGGTGAGGGGGAGGAGTCACATCGGGAGAAGTTGACACAGATGTAGAGGGGACATTAGTAGGAGTATCTTGCTACAAAAAGGATGTAATGGGCAGATGTCAAGGAGGTGTGCATGAATCAAGAGCACTATCGTTTGATGCCATTGGAGTGAAGGAGGGAGTCGGTTGAGCGGACGAATGTACATGTGCCATTGATACATGTATAGTAGAGGAAGGTAATGAAGATGGTTGAAGAAAGGAGAGATCTGAATCTAAAGTATTATAATAGAAAATATTCTCAAAAAAGGTCACATGACGGGCAATACGAAGCCTTCAAGTGGTAGGTTCATAACAACGATGCCTCTTGTGAACGGTGCTATAGCCAAGAAAGATACATCGTGCAGTGCGTGGAGATAGTTTATCTCGTTTATGAGTAGGAAGCAGGACAAGACAGACACATCCAAAAGTACGAAGAAGAGAGTAGCGAAACTGAGACTTGAAAAGTTAAAAATATGAATAGGTGTCAGCTAATACAGAAGATGAAGTAATATTGATAAGATAAACAATAATCAGAAATGCTTCTGCCCAAAGATATCTCGGTACAGATGCTGATATCAGAAGAGCTCTAGTGGTGTCGAGAATGTGACGATGTTTTCTCTCAGCAACATTATTTTGTTCATGAGTGTGTGGACAAGACCGCTGAGAGAGAGTGATATGTGATTTTAAAATAGATTGCATTGCCGAAGAAATATATTCACAGGCACCATCAGAGCGAAATATCTTTGTATATTTATAAAACTAGGTGTGAATCATATTTGTGAAGTCTTTATAAATATTTAAAATATCAGAACGAGCACACATGAGATATACCCAGGTGTAGCAAGAATAATCATCAATAAAACTGATATAATATCGATACTAGACAATGATGGTAATGGGGTAGGTTCTCAGATATCAGAATGAATGAAATCAAATAGGGCTAAAGCAATTTTGTAAAGTAATTTTGTTACTGGATGAAAATGGTAGGACAATTTGTTTAACTAATCGACACCCAATACAATTTGATAAAGTAGAGAATTTTAAATTTCCTAATACACCAAATTCAGATAAAAGTTTTCAGATAAAAGTTTTAAGCGAGAACCAGAGATATGACCCAAGCAACGGTGCTACAGATCAGAAACAGATAGCCCATGATCAATGTTGGATGGAGTGAAAAGATGTAGAGACTCTAACTGATAAAGTCCATTAACTCTACGACCTGTCCTAATCTTCTGGCCAGTGTGATCCTGGACAACATAAGATTTAGCATTAAATAAGATAGTGCAATCAAAATCTGTAATTTTCCTAATGGATTAAAGTTGCATAGATAATTTGGAAATATGAAGAGCATATGATAATGTTAGACGATCAGAACTATCAGAAGTTGGAGTAATATCACCTAACTGAGAGATGACAATGAGTGTGTCATTAGCAGTATAAATACATAATGAAGAGGAAGCATGTGAACAATTTGTAAGAACAGAGTTATTAAAGATCATATGATGAGATGCACCTGAGTCGAATATCTAAGGAGTAGAAGTACCAGAATGAACAGACAATGTAGTAAAATCTGAACTGGAGGCTATAGGCAAATAAAATTGCCTTTATCCCAAAACTCAGACGTTCGCATGCATGACTTCGCTTGAGCATCCAAGCTCGCAGGAACAAAGCTCTCTTGAATCAAATAGGTCAAGTTAAGTTCGCCTGAATGCTTGACTTCACAGGCGAAGCGGAGCTCACATGAGCATTGAACTTCGCCTAAAAAGAGCTAAGCTCGCCTGAATACCTTGCTCGTCAACTTCACTTGCGTAGCCAAATTCGTCTGAACACTTAACTTCGCCTACAATCCAAGCTCGCCAACAGGATTTAAGCTCGCCTGAATGCTTAATGAGGGTCGCCTGTCAACCTCGTCTGTTCGTCTAGCTCGCCTGTAAGCTTGCCTAGCTCGTCTGAACGGTTAAAAACCGCTTACTAGAATTGTGAAAGTGGTTACGTCCACCTCCCACATTCTAAGGAGTTAGTTACGGTGACTCTTCTTTATAAAAAGCCATGAAGGGCTATGGAGAAGGACTTTTTGGGCTGTTGAACTTTTGGATTTTTTGGCAATTAAGACTTCAAGCATTCAAGAAACCGAACTCAAGCATTTCTTGTGCATTCGACATTTGATTCCTAGATCGGGTTTCGAACTCATTCTACAAAACTTCTACCACGTGCTGAAGTTCGTTCGCGATCTCGTTCAAATGGTCAAATGAAAGCAAACTCGACGCGAGCATCCAGTGAGACATTTTATCACCCAAAAAAACTCATGTTAAAGAAGGAGAGATTAGATTCATTCTCTCTGCTTCTGTGTAAAATCGATTTCGATTTGTAACAAACAATTCGATTAATACAAATTTTGAGATCCATTTTACGACAAACAGAGGCAGCACCATTAAACCCAAGATTCTTGGTTATTAATGCAATAATCTCTGACAACTGCTTAGAAGAGAGAGTGTTAGAAGTCTGCGACCCTTGAGGAGCAGGGCTAACATCAACCGAAGCAGCAAATGGAGATCGAGTCTTCTCAGGTGTCAAACAAGGTGGTCTCTTACGATATTTATCAGTAAGATGACCCGACTTCTTACAATAACGACAGTAGAGTTATCAAGAGGAATCAGATATACTATTAGAAGGACCCCGGAAGAGAACTGCTGAGGAGTAGCTAGAATAGTATGTGATAAAGGTAATGACTGAGATGAAATAACTGGAGGGGAGAGCATCTGAAGGCGTGTCTCTTCAGATATGAACTCAGTCACGGCTTCACGGAGACTGGGGAGAGGATTGCGATGAAGAATGTGTCCACGTAAGTTTTCGAACTCAGAGCGAAGACGCATGACAAAATGATATAACTGTTGATCACGTTGTTTTTGAAATGTTATGGCAAAATTTAGAAGCGTCTCAGGAATAGGTTCCTCCATCATCTATAATTCCTCCCAATAGCCTGATAATAAGGAATAGAAATCTTGAATAGACCGATCATCCTGACGTGCATTCTGAAGAGCTTGGTGAAGTTGATACTTACGAGCAGCACCAGTCTGAACAAACATATAACTGAGTGCTAGCCACTGCTCGAGATAAAGATGCTCGTCCAAGGGATACCCGGATATGAATAGCTACAAGACGCATAATATATGCCATGATCTGTTGATCAGTATGGATCCACTGAGAATAAGTGATCTGAGAATCATTAGTAGTGGAATCACTAGAAGTGACTTCTGATATGGAGGATGTAGATAACGAAGGAAGTGATCCATCAATATAACCCTATAGTGCCAAAGCTCGAAGATTATACTGCATAGTAAGAGACCATGTAATGTAATTTTTAATATTTGTAAGTTGCACATCAATGGGTGGAACGGTGTAGCGTTCTTTCTTGTCCATGAGTTTTTTTTTGAAGTTTTTTTTAATAGAAGATGCGCTTGACATAAAAGAGAGATGAAACCCTAGAACAGAACCAAAGAAGACTCTGTGAGAGAGAAAGAGTGAGAGAGTTCACGTGGCCGCTGCAGATGTTGAGTTTCATTGCTTCGTCGGGGGCCTTGCGTGGGCCACCGACAACCATTCCCTTGAGCAGGCCTTCAGCGCCTACGGCGAGGCCATCGACTCCAAGATCATCAATGAGCAGGTGATGAAAGATGCCATTTAGGGGATGAACGGTCAGAACCTCGACGGGAGGAGCATGGGCTTTAGGTCGGCAGCTTAGAGAGGAGTCTGGGGGAGAGTTTCGGCGGCTTGAGAGGATTCATAGGAGCTTCGACGGGAGTTTGGGAGGATCATCACCGTCAACGAGTCCCAGTCCCGTGGATCAGGCGGAGGCGGCAACGGAAGTAGGTAAGACCGCTGGCTAAATTTAATGGATTGGGTCTATACCTCTGATACCATGTTAATTTGGTATTGAAGAGAATTCTATATCTTTGATGATCAGATTTACATGATATATATGCACAATAAGTAGCCCACATGCACAATCAGTAGTAGGCATATTAGGAAGCGGCTGAGGTGGGCTAGACACATATATGGTGGCTGGTATTATCTAACACATGTATACCCAAACCAATCATATTTGCGAATGTACGCTTAAAATCTAGATATTTGCTAATCAACCCCCCAATTTTACGACGTCGAGTTAAAATACCTTACAAATTGTGTTAGGGAATATTTTTTGATTAGTTGTTTGTTTTTATCTGAAATTTCGCCCTTCCATGGTTAGCAAATATCTAGATTTTCGGGGTAAGATTGCAAATATGGTTAGTTTGGATCATTGAGATTAAAAAAAAACCTTTAATCTTTTAATAGTTTTATTGAGATAAAAAAACCTCTAATCTTTTAATAGTTTTGCTACTCAAGAGTGAATTCTGAGAAGAAGTTGTTTGTCTCGTAGAAAATCTTTTCTTCAAGTGTTTAATTGCTTGGTTTTAGCCCTTGAGGGTGTAGAATAGCTTGTAAGAAGCAGATTTTTGTTGCATTTCAACTTGCGCAATGATGGAGAGCACAAGTTAAATTCATTGTTTTTAAAAGACAGAACCACCATCAATAACCTGTAAGAATAAATGGGCACGAAGAGTCCAAAAAACACGACTAAAATATCATCTTCATCTTCTACAGTGTTTAGCGTGTATGATTGCTTCAAATTCTTGACAAAGAAACCTAGGAAGAAAGGATGTGTCATAAATTTAGAGTTTCAGTTGATGGTTGGAAAACCTGGAAAACCTACTTGAGTAGTCATGCAGTTTAAGTTCGTGTTAGAATGGCATAGATGGAAAATAAAATTAGAATATGTTCTGAAAACTTTTAGTAATTTGTGGAAACTGTAACTGATTATTGGGAAGTACTTTGAAGTCAAACAAAATTACTCGAACGCCTTAACTGATACAAACAAAATTACTTGAAAGCCCTGTACTTTTATTGAAGATAATCATTCTGGTAAATTAAGGTCGTCTAAGTGTCAATGTTTAGTCCAAGGCTAGTGTCTTGCCATTCTAAATCAGAAAAATCTAAAAATTATTACTTGCGTCTTCCTTCGTGGAAAAAAGCTGGCATACAATTTTGCCAAAAACACTGTTACAAATTCAAGAGGAGAGAAAAATAAAATCATGGACCTGGAATAGTTAGCTGCGCTGACAAAAAATGCATCTTCTACCAGCAGAGAACTTAACTGTTTTATCTGGCTTTCTAGTGCTTTTAGTAAAAGACCCCCAACATCATTCCTAATACTTCGATGATACATTCGAGCAAGATTCATAAGTCTTCTATGTACTTGTTTGTTCCCTATGTGTAGTGATTATTCTACCATATTCATTTAGTATTATAGAATCCCACATTCATTTTTCTAATCTACCGCTTATTTAATCACTTCTCTGATTTAATAGGTTTATCATTATGGATTTTTCGAGAGTTCTCAAGATGGATCAGAATCAAGTTTCAAAGAAGGAGAAGAAGTGAGCTTGCATGTTGATGCACCGAGACGTGACCTCAACTCCAGGTAAATCAAATCTGAGGAGAAGCTAGACCTATTCTGAAATAAATAAGCTGTCTATATATAATTTATCATGATCATCAATAGTCCAAAAGATGAGGTATTACATATGAGAACGTCAAGATGTTGGGTGGAAATATAAGGGGTAGGATAAAAAGTGGATGTATCTACAAGCAATTATTAAAGGTTGCTACTTGCTGCTGTCTTGTGATAAAGAGAGGGAGAATCACTAGTGTTGTTTCAGGCATGCACATCTCTGAGGCCAATAAGTAGTTAGGAGAAGTGATAGAATTACAACTAATAAATCAATTAGGAACAGAGGTAAGCTTGAGCAAACTTGGATGAAGGCAATTATGAAGGATATAATAGAGATTTGTTTAATTGTCCTTTTTCTTGTTTTTACTGAGATTAAAAAAAGAAAAGAAAAGAAAAGAAGAAGCTCCAATTAGACAAATATTTAAATACTGTTTAAAAGTTGTTTTTATTGCCTATCATCATCAACAACAACACAACAACAACAACAATAACTATGATGTCTTTATCTCAAACTTTTATGGATCCTTCTCCATTCAGTTCAATTAAGAGTCAGATCTACTCTTAAATACTATTACATCTTTCACATGCTACCTCTTATATTTGGCTTTTGATTTACCATCTACTTCTCCAGCAAAGATGTTGACCTTCTATGGCTTTTAAAACCATCTCAAATGATTCTCGCTTATATTATCTTCAAATTGGACCAGCTACAACTTTGTAAGAATGTGCAGATTTTGTATCTAATCTTTTAACCCATTGCCTCTTGTCCATCTCAATATTCTCTTATGGCATACAATTATTCCTTGGACATAGTCTTTCTTAGTTGCCTAACATTTGGACCTGTAGTGTAGCCAACTTCTACACTTTTCCCTTCAAATTTGTAGGTTTTCTACTATAACGCTGCATTCACTTTGTGAATAGTGATTAAAAAGCGAAGATATGCTAGCTAGAACAATATAATATTGGTTGATAAATAACCTGCTATAATATTAATGTTGGATCTTCCTGAGTGAATCATTATGAGGATCTGGGATATTCAAAATTGATACTTTTTGGGCTGCCTGTTTTATATATCTATTTGAAGGTATTCTTCAGACACTTTTATATAACAAAATATATAATTTGAATAGGATCCTTGCCACAATTCTTGAGCTGCATCAAATTTATGTACATCCTGCAATCCAATTAATTTATTATAAGGAGAAATATAACTCTTTACATCTTTATTTCTCTACCAGTTCCCTGTTTTCTTTTTCAGTATGACAAGTTCGCCACGACTTTCTGATGTTGTGTTGCAGGCTCCACTCAGCTGGACACTTGTTGGATATTTGCATGCAGAATGTAGGCTTAGGTTACCTAGAGCCTGGCAAAGGTTACCATTTCTCTGATGGGTATGTTACTATCGTGATTCTCTTTTTTCTCTGATAACTTAACTTTATAATCTCACATAGGTGTGTCATAACTTCATTTATCCTCTCTATTCACCTGGGTCATTCATTTGACTAGTGTTTGATACATCTAACATGATCAACCATATGGGAATGGATTATCAAAAAAGAGAGCATGCAGCATTTGTTTTCTTTTATATAAATAAAAATTTCCCCCCTCTTTGCTTCTGATGTGTCTTCATAGTTGCTCATTACACTTGCTATCAATTTAATAGCACTGCCATTGTGACATCTGCTTACAAATTCTTTAGTAGACTTCGAGTTACCACCATATTCTCATGTTCATTTTGTTTTTCGTCTTGGTTATCTATACTATTTTATATAGGGCATCTTGCCGAACAAACAATCTGACATTTTGAATTTGTAAATGACGATATACCTAAAAGTTTATAATATATTACGTCATGAAATCCATTGCATCGCAAGAAATTGTTAAATATATCATCAGACCATGCAAAACTAAAGGACTCTACCTGACATTCCATTCATGAAGGTCAGAAAAAAAGATCATTTCTTGCTTTACTTTATCCTAAATGGATATGTATATTCCTCTTTCCTTTTCATCTCTGCCCTCTTTACCATCACCATTGGTAAAGACTAACACTCGTTCCAGTTGATCAAGTAATGTTTCAGCATATTTCAACAGGTAACTCTAGCTTAATATTTGTTTGCTCGTAAAAAAATATTCGACTCCTCTTTCATAACCTTGACCTGTTCAGCAGAGGGCACGTATCTGCTGGTCACTGCCCCTTTATTTGTTCTCGATCCTTGCGTAAATGACATGAATCCTTTCAATTCTTCAGGCCGTTTGTTGAATATAAAGGCGTAGTCCCACTGGATGAATTGCAAACCAAACAAAAGGAGTTGGAGATAGAAGCAGCTGCATTAATTTCTAGGGGTGGAAAGGTAGCCTATTATTTATTGTTTTGCTGGTTTTGCAATATTGCTTTTGCTGGAAGTTTTCCTATTCACCACATGTAGTGGTAATCTTCTCAGGTGTTAGCTTCGGTTGTACCGTATGATGAAGCTGTAAACTGGTGCGGCGGTGACCTTCCTTCTTACATATCTAAGGTGAGATAGAGTGTATGGATCACTGACGCGGTTTATTTTTATAATTAAATTGCACTTGATGCTTGTTACTTTGAACTACATATGACAGAAAAAAAAAGAACTCTTATGAGAGGATCCCCCCATTAATTCCTTTTGTGGTTCAATATCGGAAAAAAGTGGGCCTGCAACTTGATTATTCTATTTTTCCTTTTCTTTATTTTTCACATTTTGGTTGGAGTAGCAATCAGTCGCAATACTCTGAAGTCTGAACATTATGAAAAAGAAGCTGTCCAGTTATGACAATGAGAAAGGTAGAACGAATAGATGCTAATACAGTACTCCATGATGTAAATAAGATTAAGAGTAGTACAACTCTTGCTATTTTTATAATTCTGACAAAGGTTTGGTAAAATAACTACGGAGTGATGACATAATAGAAACTGATACAATTTAGTGTAGTCATCCATCTCTGCGATGTGATGATGACTTATGAATGTAAATCGAGGAAACTGCAAGTTGTAGACAATAGAGTACCTTGTACGACTGAGAGAACATGAAGACTGCATTCCCTTCCCTTTCTGCCACTGTTGCTATCATACTGCTTTGCTTCTTTTTATCTTGTCATTATTTCGTTAATATTGCCTTCTATTAAACTGTGTCGTTATATACACGTCGGTTTTTGTCTTTATACATTTCTGTTAAACATTATTAAGTGAAAATTTCTATTGCTTATTGGCATCAAACAGAGCAGCACCCCACGAATTGTTAAATTGGGGAACAATCCTGGATGTCCTTGTGGAGGGACACATGTTGCTGATATTGCTGATATCAAGACCTTGAAGGTAATTGTAACAGACTATTTATAGTTCAGCCCTTTCTCTGGAAGAACACAGCACTTTATAGCTCAATGACCATCTTCATGAGGCTGTCTTATTATGATATGAATTATCAAGGCATACCGGCACCCAGAATTGCTGGAGGCTCCATTTAGAATTATAAGCATAGGACCACATATTCATGTTGCATATATTTTTCTTTATCTTTTTTCTTCATGTTATTATCAAGACTGGTGAAATTTCAGTAGCCTGAGTATTTGTGTGACTTGATAATCATAAGAGTGATTATGATTGCATATTGCATAAACTGTTTGTTTATTTTATTTTTCTACATGTTATAGGGAAGTTCATTCTCACTTTGTGTAGGACATATAAAACTGAAGGTTTTACAAATAAATATTCACTTTGAATTGTGGATGTAATCCGCTTTCTTGTTCTTTCAGGAATTAAATGCATCATTGAGTATGGTTAAAGTAGGATTGTTTGGGTTAGTAGGCTTAAGTTTCATGCTTGGAATAAAGAAAGCAAGTGTCGTTGTTTTTCATAGGGGTTTGGAGCAGAACAGTTCTCTAGAGTTGAAGGACAAAGCAGGGGGTTGAGGGATTGTCGGCATATGAGATTTGTATAAAACTCTATAAAGGCATATATGACTGCTGCTATTTACTATTATAGTGAATTCTCTCCTTAGATATTTCCCTCAACATGAGTATTTGGGAACCATATAATTGTGTCATTTTGGTGTTATTCTATTCCTACCTATATGGTTTACCTCTCTTATATTTCTTAATCAAGGGAATTAAAAATATGATTTACAAAAAAT